CAACACTCTGATGATAGCATTAGTAACACCCTCACACACGCCATTAGCGAACCCCTTCTGATGAACATCACCATATACTCTCTCTCTCTCTCTCTCTCTCTCTCTTAATATATACACATAACTACACAAGGTCACTCTACATTTCCAAACAAGCTCGATCAATTCAAGCTTTTTTTTACATACCTTGGCGAGAAACCCTATTTATAGACAAAATCCCATCAACCAGCACACACACGTGTCCTCTAGTCGCTGGTTCATAAAAATTATGAAAACCCACTCAACACTTAAATCTTGAAAACGTGTCCAGACTCGTCGGTCGACATAGATACACAATATAGTTTCTATAGGCAGTAGCACTTCACTTTTAATAAAGTTGATAACGACGATCACTTATAAGAAAACTCATGCATTCTTACTGTATTCATGTAACCTCAACATATTAAATAAAGCTGATCATTCACGTGATCAAATATATAACTCATACATTCTCTCTATTAATGTAACAGCAATTTTTCGTAGTGGAATGTTAGAAGGATGTCATCGAAGGAACACTTGGACCACAACTTTTTAGACGTCTATTATGGTAATATGTTTTAGTGAAAATTCCTCAAACTAACCTTTAAAGTTGACAAAATGACAAACCTAAACTAACATATTCAGAATCTTACTATATTAACATTATAAAGTTAGTCTTTTCTAATAGATTGTTTCTGAACGAGATCCCGGAAATGTAGGTTCAATACTGAATCCCGTTAACAAGCTCTGCGTCTCCTTTACTTTACGCACTTGATCATTCGTCATGTTCACCCATCGTCAAATATATAGATGTAGCCTAAATCCAAACTTACAACCTCTAGCTTCAAATTCCGAAGATCCGGATACTACAAACCCATTCAACCATTTGGAGAGAATACACTCAAAATTATGACTTCATTACCAAAAGTAAGATGCAAACTCTTTTGACAAACAAGCAGATACTATCAAAAATTTAGAATGTTTATGTGTTATTCACAAGCCTTAGAGTATCTCCAATAAATAATCTTATTTTAAGAGTGGTTCATTTTAAAAAAATAAGAGTTTGAGGGTGGATTATTTTAAGAAGGATTCTCAACTTTATCCTTAAAAACATTAGAATATTGCATAGTAATAGTCTTTAACATAAATAATAATTAAAAAAAATCATAAAACTTTTATAATATATACCAAACCTACTTTAAACTAAAATATTACATAGCATATTAATAAATAAAAAATTATATGATAATAAAATGTTATATAAATAATAATAATAATGATAATAATAATTATAATAATAATAATAATAATAGTAATAATAATAATAAGACACCCACAAACTAAATAATAAAATTAAAAATATCAAATATAAAATTACTACATAAATAAAACCATTTCTATATATATATATATATATATATATATATGTTAACCAATGTATTTCTAAGTGATAAATAAGCATATTTGCTTTTATCTGTCAATTTTAATGTATTTATTTATTTTTCTATATAATAGTTAAATTTAAAATAATATATTTGAAATATTTATGTGATGTATAATTATATGGACTAACAAATAAAAAGAAATTTGTTTGGTTATTTGTGAGATATATAGATTACAAAGATTAAATGAAAAGCAAAAAAATTAGAGAGAGACAGAGATATATACAATTACAAGACTTTGAGAGCATGTTCTACTCACGTTTGAAAACGAAATTGGTTATGGATAACTTTTAAAACCAAGATCGTATTCGTAACCATCAATATCATAAAATTGTAGAATCATGTATAATTTTTTTCTCTCATCTAGCTCCATGGATCCACTATAATATAGTTTTGAATAATACAATCTAAGCTCCATCAATTCACCATATATAACATTGCTTTGTTGCTTCCATATCCTAAGAAGGTTTTAATTCAAAAATATAGTTAAGGAAATCTACTACCTTCTAGTAGTATATGATACTGTTTTTTAAATTTGCAGAACAGTATTGAAATCTTATTGAAATCTATTTTAATAAAAGTTTGGGGTACATAGTGGTATCTACATAAGCCACACACACACCCAAAAAAAAACTCTCTGAAATCGGTCACAAGGTAGTGATTTGAAATCAAACTATCGAAAATCTTTGGGAAGTTCTGAAGAACTCCTCAGCTCTAAACCAGGCTTGTAATTCTACAATCTCATCTTTAACCTTCATTACATCTGTTTTGGCTAATATCAAGGTTTCATCTCTTGTTCAAAGGGAGACACCAAGTGTTGTTAGTTCGATTGGTAAAGGACTTTAGACAAAGCTTAAAATTCACAGAATCAACTAACGCTTGTGACAGAAGTAATATTACATGTGGTTCTGGCCCTGGGGGATTATAGACTTTGGCCAAGAACCTCCTAATAAAAAAAAAAAAAATTGGAAACTGGAATTTGATGGATTGGGCATCGAGCCATTCTTTTGCTCAACCTATTGTATTAATTAGGTCCATTTCTGAAATACATTCTTAGGGAACGTATGTGCTATCACCAAGTTTCCATCAACATCAAGAACTAAATCCAGAAATTACTATTAAGAAGTTACAAACTTACAAATTTATATTAATTTTTGGCCTCAAAGATAAACTTGAAGTTTTAATCTATTAAGTAAGCCAAACTCTCTTATTTTTAGCACAAAGATAAAACTCTCCTATCCCTAAAAGATTAAGATTGACGTTTTGCAAATTACAGAGGAAGTAACGTGTGCATGGAGTGCTAATTGTTAACGGTCACTCATATGTTTTCAATTTAGTGCCGACCGTTACCAACACCACCAACGCCTTCTCCAGCACCACCTGCGACAACACCAGTGGCACCACCTCTATTAGTACCGTTATTACGGCCGTTACCACTGGCACCACCAGAACCACTTGCATCACTGGCACCACCTCTATTAGTACCGCTATTACGGCCATCACCGCTAGCACCACCAGAACCACTTGCACCACTGGCACCACCATTACCACCAGCACCACTTGCACCACCATTACCACCCGCACCACTGGGACCACCAGCCCCACTGGCACCACCAGCACCAGTGGCACCACCAGAACCACTGGCACCACCAGAGCCACCAGCATCATCAACACCATTAGGACTACTAGCACCACCACCACCACCAGCATCAGCGCCACTAGCACCACCAGCTCCACTTGCACCACCAGCTCCAGTAGCACCACCAGCGCCACTAGCACCACCAGCGCCACTGGCAGCACCAGCACCACCAGCACCACTGGCACCACCCGCACCACCTGCACCACTAGCACCAGCAGCACCGCCAGCACCACTAACACTTTGAACACCAACAACATCTATACCACTAACACCTTCGATACCAACACCAACATCGCCTCTTCCATGTTTATAATATCGGCCTTTGCCAATGCTACGACTACCTAAACTTGTTTGAGTTAATAAAAGTAACAACATCACACATGCCATTACGCAACCCCTTCTCACGAACATCCCCATATACTCTTAGTCTCTCACTCTCTCTTTCTCTCTCTTGATATGCACACACAAGCTCACTGTAATCAAGATAGATTCCGAAAAAATATTAGCTCGATCAGTATAAGCTTTTCTATTACATACCTTGGCAAGAAACCCTATTTATAGCAGAAACTTCATCAACAAACACAAACATGTGTCCTCTAATCATTAGTTCATGAAAAATATGAAAACCCACTCAACACTCTGAAATCTTGAAAACGCGTCAAGACTCGTCGTCGGTCGACATAGAAACGTAATAGAGTAGTTATTCTATAAGCAGTAACACTTTAAATAAAGATGATAACAATGATCACGTAAAGATGATAAAAAATGATCACTTAGAAAAAATCTCATTCATTCTCTATTCATGTAACATCAACATACTAAATAAAGATGATGATTAGTTGTAATCACTTATAAAAATAGATATACATTCTTGCTCTATTCTTGCTTAACAGGAATTTTTCTTAGTGGAATATTTAAAAGATGTCACCGAAGGAACATTTGGACCACAACTTGTTAACTGCACTTTACTTATGTAGAAATTCCAGATCTATGTACTAAAGTTGCATTCGAAAAGAAGTGGTCACAATTTTCTATGTACTAAGCATCAAGAAAATAACAACTCATAGATATTTTTTGTTGCTGAATGGTATCAGATTTTTTTTTCTTGTATTGATAGTTAATATCCTTAAATTATTTATAGAAATATTAGGTTCTCTTTTTAATGTTTACTTTGTAGTCGGATCAATGATTCATTGCCTCATTGGTTCTTATTGTTTCTCTCCGCCAGGTCTGTTTCTAACATTTTAAGCATGTACATTTACGTTGTGCCTGCAATATCAATTCCCTCGTGAATATTTTTCAAACAAAAAGATGGAGGCAAGAGTGTTTCATTTACTCTACATATAGTTCATGCTATGTCATAAAATATTTAGATTATCATGAGCCTACATATCAAGATCTAGTTACATTTATGGTGTTATCCTGTAACTTAGTTTACCATTCAATCTTTCAGAACATATCAAACTCTGTGTCTGTGACAAAAGAAAACTCAAACTATGTTTCATTGAACCTCTTTGTTACATATCAAGAGTTGCTGCAATGGAGGAGGAAATGAGGGATTTAGGACCACCAAATTCTTCTTTGAAACTAAAGATATTGAAGTTCAATGCTTAGAATTCTACCTAACTTGAGCATTGATTGCAAACTCATAGGTGGAAGTAAGTTGATGTCCATGCTTTTGTTAAAATGGAATGAAGCAAATGGATTGGGGATATCAATCATCTTATCGAGCTTAATCTGTTTTCTGAGATAGGAGTAAGAACAATCTTATCCATTTGTTGCTCTCCATATTATATATGATTTTGAGGATCTATGGACATCATTCTCATTATTTGTGAGACTAGTTTTGCTTTCTAGAAAAAAGCGCAATCTGTCCATTTATTCAGGAAGGAAGAACTGAAGATTCTGGTTCAACAAGATAGAAGCTGTGCAACACAGCAATGGCGGGAAACTGAAGATGCAAACAAAAAAAATCAACTATGACGTGGCACACATCGAGCGTTGCTTAGCAAGTGGGAGATCTGACATAAGTGGGAAGAATAGAAGCTGTTGGTGCTGGGAGTTGCTGCACAAGAAAAGGAGCTGATGTGACTTCGGTGTGTGAGTGGAATACAGGCATGTATCCAGCGGAAAATAGCAAGTTCCATGTTTGGAGGCTGTGCTATATATTCGAGTGAAGTTTTTCTAGGTAGGATTAGCCCTTTTGATATTTTTTTTTTCTCTAAAATATGAACTATAATGAAAGAAGTAAAGGGTTCGAGGTGAGTGAACATAAGAGATACGCACTTGTTGCTATGGTAAGGTGGGTAGAATATGAATAGTTTCAAGAGCAAATCACGTGTTGGTAATGTTCAATAACTCTGTTTAAACAGATTGTAAGAACCAGTTTAAAGTTATACTTAATAAAAAGCAAAGGTTTAACTTATTATCTATATTTTGTGAATTTTAGTAAGTAATCTGATCTATATTTAAGAAAATTTAAAGTAATCTAAATTAATATACATTTTTTGAAATTAAATTTAAATACAAAATAAAAATATTTTTAAAAATAATATTAAAACAAATTGGGATAATGTTAAAATAGTTTCAAAAAAAAAAAATATATATATATAGTGTTTCAAGGCAGATATTAAAAGTGTTTTTCTTTTAAAAACAGAACTAGATTGTATCCCGTGCATCCGCACATAAATTATTATTTTTATCTATTTTATAATATAATTTATATTTTTTTACAAATATAATTTGTGTTTAGATAAAATTTATTTGTTAAATTTATTATAAAAACATACTTTTAACCCGTCCATTTGATTAATTTGAAAAAACTATAAATATAAAACATAATTCTACCATGTTTGATCATATTACCATATAATATAAATTTTTGTTAATTTCAAAATTTTAAATTTTTAAAAAGATTGATTATGAAATACTATATAATAATATATTTTTTATCATCTTTGTTATCATGAAAATATTATTTAAATTTGAATATCTTAATAGAAAATAAATTAATATCTTCTTTACTATTTTTATAAAGATAATAACAACTAATGTTTATAATTTTTATAATTAATCCTACCTATATCAAAAAAGCTAAATTAATCAAATTTAAATTTGATTTTTCAAAAATAATTTTAAAAATAAATTTAAATATATTATTTTATTAATTTTCGAAATAAATAAAACAAATTAATAAAAAAAATTTCAACAGAAATAACAGTTATCCAAAAGATAGAATAGTAAAAAAATTTTAAAAAATATGTTTGAACACAAAACATGCTTCTGTTTTAAACTTTTAATAGAGTAGATAAGATTGTTCTCTAAAAATGCTCCATAAGTAGATTTAGAATATTGGGTCTTTGTTATTGAAAGTATTAAAAAAAACATGGGCCCTCGTTAGTATGAAAATTTAGAAGTTTCATATCCTGATTGGCTGAAAAAAATATTTGGACCCTATGCTTGAGAACAGACAGTCAGTTGGCCTGCTAATAAAATAACTAGTATTTGTTTGTGCCAAACCTTTATCATTACAAAAGTTTTTTTATCGTGGTGGGATATGTGTCTTCGATTAGATTTTAATTTGAATTAATTAATAATTAACCTAATGTAAGTTGGACATGATCCTTACCAAAATGTAATTTATATGCCACAGTTATTTTTATATTTTTAAATCAGTTATTTTCAAACATTAGAAGTTTGGAACTATAGAATATCCCTTTTAATCATGTCCAAATTTGAACATATTCGATCTTTTTCTTGGAACTGCATATGTTATTAATTATTTGGCTGGATCAGGAGGTTTATCAAACCAAGAAAATAAATCATTATACAGAAACCGAAGATGGGACAGAAGGGCTTTGGTAGTTTGGCAGCCAACGAATGGACTTCGTTTCACGCCTCACGGGAACGTTAAAGAAAACAAAATACAAAAATAAATTATTATAATAAAAAAATATAATCACGAGCATGTCTTCGCAAAAAGACGGCATATAGAAATAGTAGAACGCATCTTTTTCTTACGTAAAAGCCATACGAGAAAACAAAAGACATTTTTAGCGGAGAAAACAGAAAAAGACAATTAAGTTACATATATATATATATATATATATATATATATATTAAAAAACAGAGAAACAATCTTCCTATTAGCCTTTTTATCATTTTTTGGCAAAAAAATATAAAGTAATAATAATCAAAGAAACAATAGCAACATTAAGAAAAAAAATCAACAGATTATTACTATTTAGTAGTCTCACGTTCTTTAGTTTTATTATTTTAAAATTCGATATTAACATTTGTTTAATTTGATTTCGTTGTTCATGAATGTATACAATACACACCGTGTATATACGCAGATGTGCACACATGCAGTTACGTGTAGTGCATGTATGCAGACATGGAATATATTATTATAAAATGTTGGAATTTATATGAAAACGTCGAAGACAGGTAACATATATATGATAACATGACAGAGGCGTATCATGAAAATGGTACGGTCCACATATTATAAACATATAAATTTTCACATGATGAAGAGATTGAACTATATCACAAATTAAAGAGTCGAGCTGTAAATTAGTCAAAAGGGGATAATATCGTATTTGTATTTTTATAGTATTTAATTTTTTTTCTTATATCCACTTAAGCAAATTAAATCAAATCCCAAGAAAATAAAAATATAACTAATTCAAGCTAAATCGAAATGCACCAAAATAATGAAACCAGACTGGAATTAATTCAGTTTTATTTTGGGATTCTCTTAAAAAAAATGAAACAACTAATAATCTAATCGACAACATCATCTGCTACTACAAACCGTAAATGAAATATGTGAACCAGAATCGTCTAATATAAATGGAGCAGTAATTCATGATCTCCACTAAAAAATATTTGCTTACATGCCAAAAGAGAAACTTTTTTTATTAGAAATAGCACAGTAAATCCGTCTCTCATCATTTCATCTGATAGCAATAGTGAATAGCCAATGAAAATTTGAACCAGTCATATATTCATTGTGTAGGACAAACTTGTCTGTTTAAGAAAAAATACAGTACTATTAATGGTTATGTGACAAAACTCCTGATTTTTCAAGATTCATTACCAATTACAAAAAGTAATGGTATAAAAAAGATTTCTTGTTTCTTGTACTTAATTACTTATGCGGCTCGTGTTACAGTGAACAGTGGCATTTTCTAATTAATGAGAAAGGAACACTTGAAGGCTGAAAGCATCTTCATTTGTGTACGCACACATATAAGATGATGCCCCCATGAGAACTCTCCATTCATATACACACATTGAGTAAAGTTTCCTATATATATATATATATATCTTTTTTTCTTTTTACAATGTTATTCTAATTACCGAGGTTAAATTCGAATGGCAAGACAACGTTATGTTAAGAACTCAAGGACAATATGACACATGCTTCTGAGATGCTTCCGTACGCGAGCAAAAAAAGCAGCTTCAAGTTTAGCCTTCATTGGAAAAACTTTTAAAAGCACATAAATTTTCTTTCTCATTCAATAAAATTTTGTTAATAAAGTATGGAACGCTCAATCTCTATGTTTTCATATGAAAATTTTGTAGAACAATAACTTT